TATTAAATATATAATTAATTGAAGTTTTAATTTAAAAGATAATATAAATAATAAAAAAAAATAGATAAAAACCTTTTAAAATATAGGACCTTAGTTTTCAGTCTGTATTTCAAGTGGTCTAGATATACAAAGATAAAATTCACCAAGCTGATTCATAACAAGACGGTTATTATATTCAAGTTTTTTTGAAAGAAATTCTGATGACTTGATTTTAGGAAGAAATGAATATTCACCACGAGATTTACCCTAATGCTTTAATAAGATTGCAATAGACTATTAAAAATCCTTTTTGGAATGGAACTTCATTTTGAAATTTTTACAATTAGCAGCAAAATTGGAAGAAAATCCTTTAAGCAAGTCATTTATTGCTTCATCATGAATGTCATAAGGAGTTTTGAGGATCCATTTGAGTTTGATATCATTGAAGTTTTTGGCATTTAAACATAATACGCATAGATCCTTCTTTTCTCGTTTGATACCTTCTTTTTTGATCACGATAAGACACCAATTGTATATCTATCGTGCTGTTCCCATTTATCTTCTGAGTTTTTAGCCGCTCCTGCTGGTTGGAATAAATGCGAATCCATTGTACCTTACCTGCTAGAAGTTTCTTCACTTCCTTCTTGGAATTCTTAAATCTCTTGGGCAGCATCTCTTCTCTATTTATGATTTGTAGCTGAATGTAATCCATTATGTCATACTACAAATACTGTGATGATTGCAAGGAAGTCTTTTGCAAGTTCTCCAACTTCACTACTTTTGACACTAACATCTGTACTGAGTACCACGAGCTGAGTCCCATTCTTCTCAAAGAATCATTCCACAAGCTCGAATCTGAAATGGCATAATCGGTCCTAATAAAAAAGTTAGTAAAATAAAAAAACAATAAATCAAAGCAAATAAATAATTAAACTCATACCTTTTGGGTAACCACCACTTCTTCGATTCCTCCTGTGTGTATTCGTTTCAGAAGGGCAACAAACCCCTTTGTTTCTTTGAACTGACTCTGACGTAGAAGATTTTGACCTTTTGCGTGGGTTGTGTTTGATTGTTTCCAAAGATTCCTTGTATGTCAGTTGAGACGTCATACGTTTCCTTGATTTTTATTTGCACTTTGAGGGTCATTAAAAATGTGTCTTTGTTCCACCTGTTCTGGTCTTTCTTTGTCTGTCAATTGTCGTATCCGATACCCAGGTATTATATCTTTATATACCACAAACTGAGATAATATTGCCAACTTTTTTACAGTTAAATTCTTATCAGTAGCAATTTCACGTAAGTCTTTTAGTTGTCCTATCTAGGAAATTTAACATTCATTTTAGTTTACAACTTCAAATCCGAAAAAAAAAGGAATTAACAAGTGCATTACATTATTCTCTAGATCTTTGACTATACGTTGAGATATTTCCGCCAATTGTTCCTTCTTTTGATTAATATATTCTTTAAGTGGAATATTTATGCTTAATATAGGTTCTGAGATATGTGACTTTTTATCATAGTATCAAGGTCGTTCAGTTTGTCAATGTCATTAGGGAATGAGAGGTTGACAGTAAAACTGTGTTGCTTAAAGCTATATTTGACCAAAATCACCATACAGTTACGATTACTAGTATCACATAACAAATAATATATATAAAAATTATGTAATGCAATCAATAAAATAAACTACAAGAAACTATTTTCTTTTCATTGTTTCTTTTTTTTACTCTTTCTTTACCTTTTGTTTTGTTATGGATATAATTATAGAAGGTAAGTTTTGATTTTATATTTGTTTTCTTTGTAATTAGGCTTTAAATAATTTATTTTTATTGAAGGTGAGCAGGATTACCAAAATGATACAGTTTATAATGAGGACGTCAATCATATCAAATTTATGGAAGAAATAACTGAATCTACTATTAAAATTATTGTTAGTGATTCTTTTTCATCATGGGAAGAAGCTGAAGTACAACTGAACATTTGAATGTAGTCATTCTGGAGAATCAATATCTAATAAAGTAATTGATCTAAATCATCAGCGTAAACATCCTTCTAGAAAAATTGGATGTTCTTGACATATAAATCTTTCCAATCGCTTAAAGTGTTACTGTTGTTCTGAAAGAAAACTATGATGGTGGGGTTGATTATGATTTATCAGTACAAAAGCATGAAAATGTATTAATTACTTCGCAAGATAAATTGGTAAGCATAAAGCGTGAACCCAATACTGATAAAAATAGTAACAAACAAAAATAAATATGCAAAGTCTGTGGAGAACCTGGTCATAATGCTAGAAAATGCACAAAGCAGCATCAATGATACAAAGCAGAGACTGTTTAACTTGTTATAATTCATATTCTTTAATTAGTCAGCCTCAAATTACAGTAGTAATTTGAGCCCGGCTCCCTTCGGTCACCGGAACCTTGTAATAAAATTTCACAGAATGTATTGCAATCCTAATTTAATACATACATCATGCTTTTTATTGATCTCAATTCGTTTAATTAGTTTGAAATAATACATTTTTAATGTTTTAACGCTAAATTTAAATTTGATAGTATCACGTGATGCGGTGACAATCACCTCCGGTTACAGTTAGAAAAATTCTATAATTTTTTTGAAGAGAAATATTATATTTTATTATTAAATGATTTTTATTTGAATAATTGACAATTTTTATTAATATTATTATAATAATTGATCAAAATTTTGATTAAACCTATAAATATTATACTTTTTATTTTCATTGAAATTTATTTTATTACTATTAGAATTTCTAATTGTTTAAAAATTTAAAAACACTAATACTCTTAATTTTAACTACTTTAATAGTTTAATTATATTCCAATCATATCTCTTTAAGTAAATAATATGTATAATGAATTTCTAGAAATGTTTGTTCCAATGCATATTCAGACGACGCCGCCGGGATTATTCTTAAATCTGAAATGTATAAAAATATGTTATTTACTAAAAAAAGAAAAGATTTTTCACTATCGCTATAGAGTAATGGGTATAATTTTTTTTTTTTTTTGTGGCTTTCGATTTCTTTCCGTAGAATTTTCTGTAGAACAAGGAGGTGCAGTCAAACACGACATTTCACATTCATATTAAAAATCAAATGTCACAAATTTTGCTGATCAAACATGTCACTTTCATAATAAAAATCAAATGTCACAAATCAAGTTTTGGATAAAATAGATTTAAAATTAAAATGCGATAAAGATCTCAGAACCTGATTTTAAGCCCCCTTTTAAATAATATCATCTTTATTACATCAACATTTGAAGTCCAAGCAATTTTCCGTAACATTGATCGAGAAAGAATTATTTATTGACTTTGCCACCATATCACAAAGCCCTGCTTATTTTTTTTTTTAATAAAGCTAATTCAATATTTTTCCGATTTGAACATTATAATTTGTATATTTCGAACAGCAAAGTACAGTAACGTTCATAACATTTTGGTTAATAAAATTTATCCAACATTTTATTTATGATATACGATTGATGTCCAATGAAATCATACTATTCATATTAAATGTTACCATTTTCTAAATCATGATAATTAAATAAATCATTGTAAAATCGCCATCAAATAGAACAAATAGATTATTCGAGTGAGCGTAAATCCGGAAATGGCTTATAGATAATTTACAACATATTATGTACCGCCACTCATAATCCCGATATCACCGGTCGCCTTTTTTTTTTTCTCAGAAAACCATATAGAAAATAAAACGACTGAATTGCATGTATAATTGAATATTGGAAAAAAGTAACCTATAGGATTTGTGAATTCGTATGATCTGCATATTACATTGGGTGCGCTGTCTACTACTAATTAAATCAAAACTATGTATGGTCCTATAACAAAAATTACTATTGAAGATTTTTTTATATTAAGTTATTTTATAGTATAATTTAAATTATTTTATAATAAATTTACTATTAATGAAGCTATATTTTCTTACTTTAATAACTCTGGATCCTTCTTATCATTTTCATTTCAGATTTTTCGAAAATACTCCAAATATCTGTTTCTTTCACAAAATAGATCGCTTTTTTTTAAAAAAATTCATCAATACTCCGAAATTAATAAATTAAACCTTCTAAATAAAATAAAACTTTTTTTAACGTTAGTTTTGAAAAAAACGATGTATTTTATGTTTCTTAAAGTTATCAACTTTACTGCGTTACTTAAATATTAATAGAGTACAAGTTATTAAACTTTAAAGATTTCGGTTATTTTATTAGAATTTTATTAAAAAAATGGCTAGCAAACATCGAAGTTAAAATAATCGTCAATAAATATCTAATAGTAAGCTTTACTATAGGACCATATATAGTTTTGTTAAACTATGTTGACAGCGTACCCCAATATTATATACTGTATTGTTAATCCATTTTATTATTATGGTGAGACCGAAAAACTTAATAAGATTATTAATAATAAGGTAAAATTTTATTCCGTTGTTTTTCTTGCTCTTGCGAAATAATAAAGGAGTATTCTGAGAAATAGAGAACCTTTAAGCTTTATTTCTCGTTTTCTCTGTTTACTTATTACTAAATTGTTTCTTATATTTCGAATCCATAAATTCATCAAATTCACAACTTTTTATTTACAATCATTTATTTGTGATTAAATTAAAAATATTAAATGCCTTAGAAAATTTAATCAAATCTGCGTCATGTGATTAAAAAAATTGAACGTTATACATTTATAAATTTACAGCAAATAATAAAAAAACTAAATAATCACTAATGAATAATTTCTATTTTAAAAGTATATATCTTGAGTAAAACGTGAATTAAAAACCATGACGTGACGAAGTTGTCTGTATTGACTTAAGCTGATTGGCTGAACGATAGTATTGACCCACCAGACGACTCCTTCGTCGCATGGAGGAGTGGTAAGACTTCCGGGATATGTATACGTCTACGTTTTGAAAAGAACGCGTCAATTTTTTTATTTTATTTTCTTTTTTGCAGGCGCGAACATTGTTAATAAGGTTACCTGGTTCATATAATCAATATCTTGCAATACCTCCGAGAGTTTGATAGAGTCGATTAAATGACTATCGTTTTTTTTAAGAGGAAGCTGTAATTGAATTATAAACAATGGTCGGTCAATATATCATGAAAATATATAAATAATAGATGAATGACACATAAAAGAAAATATTCGATTACATTATCGACAATTGGTCCCAAGAAGTCATTTTGTTCATCGGAGACATCATAAAAAACACCGATAACTGAAAGGTTTCCTGCTTTTGTTTTAAAAACAAAATGAGCTTCAACATCAAAATATTTTTCATTAATACGATGTTCGGAAGGAGTGTGAAAATGAAATTGTGCCAATTCATAATCTTCATTTCCAATCCTCATTGTAGCAGGCAAAATTTGCTCCTTGTTAGAAACTTGAACAGTATGACCATTATTTACGATTTCGACGTTCTTGGCATCATCAAAAGTTACATTATCAGGTTTAGAAAATGTAGTGAATTTTTCATGAGTGATATCAATTGGTGATTGTTGTTTTCCAGTACGGCAGATCTCTTTGCTTCCTTTTAAATCAGCCCAATAAATTGGTCCCGTTTTTCCAGTATAACTAAAGTCTATGTCTGCTGTGTGAATCAATATTGGTGAAATAAGTACGAGAAAAATTGATGCGAGGATTGAAAATGATTTCATCTTATAGATTATTATTATTGATGTATTTTTTTTTTTTCCTAATAAAAATATTTTTTTTATTTTTAAATTTTTTTTTTCGTGAATTCATTCTGTATTTATGTCTGAAAATTTTTGTTGGTCTTTACCTGATTTGGGCAAGCTGCCGGCGGATTTTTTGAATAACTATTTCATTGTTAATAAATAGATCATCACTTGCCGATTTTGGAAGTCCGGTGGCAATTATATTTGTTTACAAAAAGATTGTTCTTTTAAACTAAATTATGTCGGTTGAAAGTGTTCATTTTTTTTCGCTTCTGAAAGTTTGTGAGAGAGTCATGATCCGTCTATTGCTTTATGCACACCTACGGGAAATGTCAATTCCATCATCCCATATAAACAATCAACTTACCTTATTAAAGCTTATTGTTATTGGACTTCTTCTATATTCATTAAACTCATTCATGATCATTTAACTCACTAAAACTTATTGTTTATTAGATTCCTCCTATAATTAAACTAATTATGTGATCATTTTTTACTTTATTAAGAATTGGTTTTATAAAATCAAGATGGGCGTTAACTCAGTTCTTCAATGAATAAATAATGTGGCGGTCGTGAATAGATCTTTATGAATTCCCATTTCAAATTTTCATATAGTATGGTATAGTAAGTTTTTTTTTTTTAAAAAAAAAAAAATCCATATTTTTAAAATTTTCTATTTTTATTTAAAACGTTTTAAGAAATTAGACATTTGACGAAAAACTAAAAGTGGTTGTATGTGACATATTTAGTTAGTAAGAAATCTTTAAAAAATACTGTAAAATGGAAGATAAGGCATCAAAATGACCAATTCTTCTATATAGAATTGGATTTAATCGAGTTTAATAAATACCATAAAAAGTGATAAAATTTTCATAAAACGTTTTTTTGAAATTAATTGTTGACTGAAATTGATTTTCGTCTGAAATTGGAATTCAGACGATCTTCATGTGTCTGAAATTGAGATTCCAATTTCAGACACCCTTTTATTATCGTTTTATTTTTTTTTAATTTTTTTTTAGGATTTTTGTTCACATTCTGGCTGCTGCTTAATGTAGGTTTTTCTTTTTGGCAAATAAGTGATTTCTTTTTTTTAAATTTTTATTTTATTTTTTTTTTTTTTTTAGTTTTATTTTATTTCTATTTTATTTTCATACAGATTTTTCAACCATATCGGGTGCTGCGTCAGTTAAATTAGTGATTTTATTCATTTTCGTTTTTCTCCATATTTTCAGGTTTCTTTTTATTAAAACTTCAGACCGAAGTGATC